ACGTGACGGAAGACTGTTTTACAGTCGGATGCTGAGTTATGGGTTCCCGACTTTGTGCTTTTGGAGCAAGCTACTTATTCACATAGATCACGCTGAGAAAAGGCTGCAAGGTACAAAAATGAACGCTTATACATGCCACCTCAGACATATATAAAAGCGCACCGATATTTTTTGATGAAAGATAAACGCTATATAGCGAGTCAGTTGATGAAGGGCTTCGTTTCTGCGAAAAGAGGGGCATCAAAGTTAAAAAGCGTCCAAACCAAAAAACAAAAAAAGCTTGGAAAGCCAGTTGATGAAGGGGCGGCTTAACGGCAAACAAAGAAATAAAAAGTTGGTTACATGTTCGGTCATTGTGCAAAATACATTTAAATACGGTAGCTTTATAGGGTGGGTGGTGCACTTAGTTCGGGTGGTGCATAGTGCAGGATTTTGTATACGAACAGATTACGTCGCAAAACTGTCTATTAATGGCCCTGCGCGCGCTTCCCTTAACCAACAACACGATACAAAGCCTTTGCACTAAATTTTCTGGTCCCCATGAAAGGGGACGCGCGCTTTCCTACACTTCACACTACTCCTCGTTCCGCGTGCTCTTTCTGCACCACCTGTTTCTGCTCCTCTCTTTCTTGCCCTTTCCACCTCCCTCCATTCCGCGCTCTTTCTAACATTACCTGCATCTGCGCCTCCAGTTCTGCGTGCTGGTTCCGTAGCTCAGTCAGTAGCGTACTCGACTTCCACGCCGGGGACCGCGGTTTGATTCCTGGCACCGGTTGCCGTTGTTTTCAAAATCGTTCGGCGGTTACGGACTGACCAACCTACACATTTTGTGCTTACGCATCTGCTAGAGTTGGTTGGCCCTATAACGCTACCGCTCTAATACCGCTTTAAAAAAGGGCCTTGAAATGAATAGATGCTTTGCAACAGCTGTGCATAGGAGCCACAACTACTGACCTTCAGTTTTTATTTTCTCTTATTCTGTTTACTTCACTTTAATATTACCATAGCTGGTCAGCTCATTACCGTTTTATATTCTGCTGTGTCCTTCTCCCCAGCATTGGCCTTCGTGGAAGCTCTTCAAAGCCCGTTTCATTAAGTTCGGTACGTTGGTAAGACAGGAGGCACACAATGCGGCTGTAATATGGCGTCTGTGTAAAGCATCCGTACTCGGCCGTCTTCAGATGTAGAAATCGATAAAAGTTTGACTCCCTTACAAAGTTTTGGCTTCCCCCGAATATTGACAGACCGAAAAAGATAAATTAAAGTTTTGGAGAGTTCTATAGCTGTGACATCAACGCACATGATCTGTATAAAAAAACTTTAAACTGCTGATTGTGGCTCTCAAAGCAGATTGACCTTGAGGTATCGAGAACTCCTTCACTTTATTGATTTCACATCGCCATTCAGATATTGTTAACCACAGCAGTGTCATTAGATGACCTTGAGGGATCGTTCAGAAAGTGGCAATTACTACTCTCGTGTTTGCGAGCTTCCGTATAAGCTCAGACAGATTTTGATATCTCGCCCTGTTGAGTTTAGGGAGAGAAGGAAGAGGGCGAATGTATTAATATCTGCTTTATATTTGTTTTGCGATTAATCAAAATTGACAAATAAAATGTCAAAATCCTAAACAGCACATTTCTGCTGATAATATATCTAAAACTTTATCTAATCGTCTTCGCGATTTATCAAACTGTTGCATGCCCACTTTGTTCTTGTCTTCTGTTTAAATCAATTATTTAGAATCAATGCAGTTTTCAAATCTTCCTTTCTTGTCCTTTTCACACAAAATATTGACAGGCGAGGATTATAATTAAAATTAACTGTTTGGCTAGTTGGGCAAACATCCTAAATACCAAGGCATAAATAACAAGGACAGAACAAAGATAAGCCACTGTTCTGTTGGAATCTTTGTTCTGGGCGCTAAGGCGGTTTGACAGGACCTTAGCTTGTTTAGTTCCTCCTTTCCATGTGTATTCCAACTTTGACACGATACAACAGAATAGTGCCGAAACACAGCCAGTCTGCTTTCGTGAACTTTCGTGAAATCATCATCACCATCAAGGGCGCGAAAAAACTATACTTGCCGTAGGCGCCATCACCCCTAAGTACTCCCCTGTGCGCACGCAGATCTTTGTAGAAGAGAGCATTGTGCTCTAGAGCGCAGCTGTTAGGCGCCCGTTTCCGGCTTGAGCGGCGTCGGCGTCGCATTCGGTGTAACCGCGACCCCCCCTCCCCCCCTCCCCCGAGGACCTCGGGAGGAGTTCGGGTTCCTGCGGGACGACCTCGGGAGGACCTTGGGTTCCTTCGGGAGGACCTCGGGAGGACCTCGGGTACCTTCGGGGGGGGGGGGGGGGGTGTCACGTGACCCCCCCCCCCCCTCCCCCCGAGGTCACTTAAACCCCCCTCCCGAGGTCACATCACCTTCCCCCCCCCCCCCCTCAGTACCCTTCCCTACTCCTCCTCACGAGCTGCGCTCTAATTCGGCGTTACAGGGAGTTGTAAACGGCTTTCACTTTCTTCTTGTTTTCTTTTTTTTTTGTTTTTTTTATCTTCTGCCTCTCTTAGTAACATTATTATAAAATACCTTTTTTTATAAAACTTGTTTGTGGTTTAATAATTGTCCTAGTCTACCGCCCTCTAAGCTGGTTTGTGACGTTATTTCTCGAAAATTTTGAGTAATTTCTATTTCATTGTCAGAACGGTCACATCGTAGTTGTAAAATACTTTAATATTTCTTCGATATGTGATACACATAATAGCAGTACCCTACTTTTGGAGTCCTTTTACGTGCATAATCTTATAACTGAATCTACTCACATTAATAGTACTTTAAGTACATTAATTAATTAGTCATGCTCTTTGTATTTGAAATGCCGGTGTGTGTGCTGGTTCTTATAGCTGACAACCTGCCTATTTTTGTATTCTTACAACACGTATCAACCTAATAGATTCATGGTTCTCATGAAGTCATTAAGTTATTTATGAATAACAAGGATATATTAGGTATTCATTTCTTGCATCTTTTTAATGATTCATTGAGGAGGATCGCTATAGACGTAAGGTAGCTAAAGTGGTGCTTATTTTTAAGGATAAATATCGCGTTGAACCATCTAGTTACAGGCCAATATCTGCTTTAAATATACTTAATATAGTTTTCTAGAAAATTATTTTGCGAACACAGCATCGTTTGCTATAATCAACACGGATTTCTGCCTAAGCGGTCAACTTCCTCCACGGCATTTTTACTGACCCAGCCTCTTACTGAAACCCTCCACGACAATATTATTGCCATAGTTATATTTTTATATATAAAAAAGACCTTTGACACAGTTAATCGCAGTATTATTTTGAATAAGCTTCATAAATTTTATTTCAGAGGCAAGATATTTGAGTTATTTTAGATAATGCGTAATAAATTTTAATCAAAGATTTTATTTCTCCGTCGCAAAGTGTGACAATGGTTGTACCCAGGGCGGTTTGCTGACCACTTTTGGTATCTCTCGGCGGTTAACCCACCCGCAAGAGGGATTTTAAAGTTACATAACTTGCTCCGTGGGGACAACATATTAAAGGCACCTAGTGTTCCAACCACATAACTGCCGTTAAGTCCGTCCTGGTTTCAAATATTAAAGCCCTATTTTGCACGAAAATAAAAAAAAGTAAGAGGCTTGAAATGTATGGCAAATGAACCGCATTCGTGTGGTGAACGGCATGTAACGTTATTTTTGGGAAATGTCGTGCTAATGGAGACTTAAAGAAAACAGCAGGCAAGGGGATCGTCTGGAACGCTAGGTAGTTTCTTGCCACGGAGCCGGTCACATGACCCCAAAATCCTCCTACGGGTGAGTCACCCGCCGGGAGAGAAAAAGACAAAACTACTGTGCTTTAGAAATCCCCACAAACGTGTTTTATTGAATCATTCTTTATTCCTTCCCGGAAAAAAGGGATGCAGCATCCTGAATTGAAATATAAGGCTAGCACAAAATATCTTGGACTAGATGTCGATGAACACACGATTTGGGTATGTCACGTTGACTACATTAAAAAAAGATTAAGAACTGTCTAATCATTTATATATCGCATTGGTACTTCAGCATGTGCTCATGTAAAGAAAAATATTTATTGTGCCTTAGGAAAATCTATACTGAGATATGGCATTTTGATTTATGGATCCAGCTGAAGGAACAAATAACGAACCGTGGATAAACTAATATATAGCATAGCAAACAATATTGCATATGGTGCACAGGTTCAACATTTAGACCTCATCAACAAACTTGAAGCATTTAATATAATGCCTTTGAATACTTTATTTAAATAGATAGCTATAACAACACATTACTTCTCCAGAACAGAATACAAATATCCGGTGAGAGGGCATGGCGGCACTCCTCCGGGAGCAATGGCTAACCCTATCATGCTCTACGTGCAGTTTTTGATCACCTTGGCTGGACTGACGGGGTCGCCGACGCATCAGGGCGATTCTTCGGAACGCCAAGTCATCATGACGCCGCTGCAACTGAAATGGACAAGCGACGCCCATTTTCAAGCCAGCGAGGAGCCTGGAAACATCTTCAGGAAACTCGTGTTCGCCAAAGAAGCCAGACCGACATCGACAACTTGTCTCGCCCACAAGACTACAAAAAGGCCACGACAGCTCTTCAGCGTCAGAGGGCATGGCGGCACTCCTCCGGGAGCAATGGCTAACCCTATCATGCTCTACGTGCAGTTTTTGATCACCTTGGCTTGACTGACGGGGTCGCCGACGCATCAGGGCGATTCTTCGGAACGCCAAGTCATCATGACGCCGCTGCAACTGAAATGGACAAGCGACGCCCATTTTCAAGCCAGCGAGGAGCCTGGAAACATCTTCAGGAAACTCGTGTTCGAAAAAAGAAGCCAGACCGACATCGACAACTTGTCTCGCCCACGAGACTACAAAAAGGCCACGACAGCTCTTCAGCGTCAGAGGGCATGGCGGCACTCCTCCGGGAGCAATGGCTAACCCTATCATGCTCTACGTGCAGTTTTTGATCACCTTGGCTGGACTGACGGGGTCGCCGACGCATCAGGGCGATTCTTCGGAACGCCAAGTCATCATGTCGCCGCTGCAACTGAACTGGACAACCGACGCCCATTTTCAAGCCAGCGAGGAGCCTGGAAACATCTTCAGGAAACTCGTGTTCGCCAAAGAAGGCAGACCGACATCGACAACTTGTCTCGCCCACGAGACTACAAAAAGGCCACGACAGCTCTTCAGCGTCAGAGGGCATGGCGGCACTCCTCCGGGAGCAATGGCTAACCCTATCATGCTCTACGTGCAGGTGAGCAGAAGTCACTCCTTGCATTGTAAGCGTACTAGCAACGTTTGTCTTTTCTCGCCGCCATGCCCTCGGACGTGTGTACTGCTGTTCCTTGAGTGTATTGCTGTAATTCGTGACCTGTTATCATGCGGGGATATCGAATCCAACCCGGGTCCGGATGATGATTGTATACCTACGATGGGGGAAATGGTTAAGAGGGAGCGCTCCTCCAAGCCCCATAGAGAATACACGCGATTTTCTGCCATTTTACGAAAATTCTCATTTAATAACCGTTACACCGATTTTTTCAAACTTTTTTGCTATAAAAAGATTGATTCTTCGTCCAACTATCCCACCGAGCATATTTTTAATAAAAAAATTTATTATATTTTATATTAAATCGTGAAATCGGTCGGAATTGGCTGTTTTGACATGTTTACGTTAGAACGCGTTTTTAAAAACCTGTGAATTTTTAACTACAAATGTGTCTGGTGGGATATCTGCGGAATTTAACACGGAATTCAATTATATTAAAATTATAGCTGTACGTACGTCCGTTCTTTAACTACATCGAAAAAACTCAACCAAGGTGTTGTGGCTTGTTTTCCTCGTTTGGACGGTCAAGACTAGTTCGACGAGCGCCGCGTGAGGGCGCCACCATTTCGCCACGCACGCTGCTCTGATTTTGTATTACTCCGCGCGCATGCGCTCTTCAGTAACGCGCTTGTGGTGGTCCAGAGACGGCAAGACCCGTCCAGGCAGAGTGGTTTTGTTTCTCGGGGTGGGATGTGAGGCGGATAGCTGTGCGTGTTTTCATAACTAGAAAGGCCGTCCTCGCAGCTATGGGTCCAAAGAGGTATAAATATGGCAAGCGAAAGGTCTCGAAGTCGCAAATAGAGTTTGCACGTAAGCGACCCTCTGCTGAAACTACGGATGGTGAGGTTTCAGGTGAGGTTGAGTCATTGTGTCGTCGCGCTGCGAGAACGAATTGACTCGGGGTGTTGAAGATGCCGCTTGGGAAGCCATGCAACAGGCCGGAGTGGAAGAAGCGAGGCGCGCGAAGGAATCTGGCGAGATCGATGCCGAAGGCTATCCGCTTGTTACCGTCGTTGCAGACTGTGCGTGATCAAAGCGATCGTACAGGCACAAGAACGACGCTCCTTCTGGTACGGTAAGTACTACATTTCTTCCTCTAAAAGGGGCGCGAATTTTGATCGTAGATATAATATACATTTCTTTAGAGTGCGTTCGAAAGAAATCCGAAGCATGTTTTTCTCGCCACGAAAATACATTAGTCTCTGTCGGGGTCCATATCACAAGAGCGAATGACATTTTAGCGAACGGCGACATTTGAGCGAATGGTCGTTTTAGCGAATAACGGGGGCGCGCGTTAACCCATCCGTCGCGCTGCGCTTTACGCCGCTTCGCGGCGGCAGTCTGCGGCAACTCATTACAAAAATATGAACTCATTTGGCCCACCCGAAAACGCCGCTTCGCGGCGTCCGACTATTCGCTAAAGTGTCGTTCGATGAAACGTGGGCGTTCGCTAAAACGTCATTCGATCAAGTGAGTGCCTCCCGTCTCTGTCGCTAGGCTACATTTGGGCGGACGCTGAGCATTTGGCAATGCGTAGTTTATTTTTATGGTGAGATGACCGTGGTTAGAATCCCTCTCTGTTGTATGTGTATTTCTGTGAATGCAAGATTTGTTTCGGCAACTGGGGTGACGATTTCTCACGAAGCACTGGAAACAGTTATGCTTTTTGTGTGCTTGTTTTAGTGACCGCTGTTTTATGTACTATACATTCCGAATATACGCGGTGCCATGCAGTCAGTTCGTCAGACGACGTTTTAGACAGCTCGTATCTTCGAAGCTGCACTTTTTCAAGGATAAATCGTTCCATCGGAAATAGCCGGCGTTCGTTTCATCGATACACCTTGTGACGTTTCGTCTAGTTTTTCTATTATGTGCGTGCTCGCGCTTGCGAACGTAATTGCGCGTCCGTGTCTGCTTGCGTGTGCGCCTGCATGAGCGAGGATGCTTATGTGCGTGCCCCCCGTGCACATGCGTGTTTTCATGTTTACGCGTGAGTATATATACCCGCGTATCTGTGTGCGTGTTATACGTGCATCTGCGTGCGTGTTTGCACGCGTGGGCGTTTGCCTGCTTATAAGTGCGCGTGCCTGTGCGAGTGCGCGAGTGCGCGCGTGCACGTGCGTGTGTAATTCGTGCGTACGTGTGCGCGGGTGTGCTTGTGCGTGTGTACGTGAATTTGCATCCGTGCCTGCGCGTGCATCCGCGTATCTGTGTTCGCGCATGCGTATGAGTGCCTAATTCGTGCGTGTTTGAGTGGGCGCATGCATACTTGGGCGTACGTGTGCCCAAGTACGCACGTTGTCGGACTTGCGGGAAAGGTTCGAGAAGCTCGAACCTGGTCGAACTCGAACGTCGGCTGGTTCGCGACACCTTTAGTACTCACGTTGCGGACGGTTGGTGATTGGCCGCTGATAACTTCACCGTAACTTTTTGCTTTATGTTTAGCGCCATTTTTTATATTTCTATTTGTGCGATTGTAATCTTTTGCGATTAAACTCTCTGTACCCTTTCCTTGTGACCTATGAAACGATCTCGAACGCCTCGAACAACAGCGACGCTTGCGTTCGTTCTCGGGGCTAGTAGGCAAGGAGGTTACAAGTATTTATACGACGTCAGACTGCCTTTTGATGCCGAGTCACAACACAGAAGTATGGCCACCGAAGGCAAAAGCAGTTATCCCATTGGCGAGTTTGCTTTGTCTTTCAATTTTCACAACTCTCCCGAATCAGTTTTGCTTTATCGTTTGGTGGTCATGTTTGTGGGCGATGACTCAGCACGTGACTAGACCCTATAACCGTTCATGGTGTTTTTCTCTGTTTTTATTTTTTAGATTGAACGATTCTGCTGCAGTGTGGAACGAACTACACGAAAGTGCTCAACCTTCTACGAAGTCTTCCGAGGAGCAGAACGTGTGGGGATCAGGACTATTGGAAGATATGTTCTCAAGTCATGAAAAACTGCCCGGTCGCCAATCATTACAAATTGTCTATGAAATACTATAAGAAACAATCAGTGTCGTGAAAAATTGTATAAAAATACTTTGTTGTGCAGTGCTGGTGGCTAGTTGTGATGAAGTAACGAAGGTATATGCCGGTAGTTTGTCATATATGTATTCGATTATGTATTTATTTTTAAAGTACCTAATATACAGTGTTGTTTTTACTTAACTGGAACGTGTTTTTCTTTTAAAAGAGGGGGAGGCATTTACCTTAGTGCCGTATTCACTGTGCCTTTAGGGGGCTCGGCGAACACTACATGGGAGATCATTGTAGCGATAAGCTGGGTGGGTAAATAACTAAAATCTGCTAATCAAGTTTCCCACGAGCGGGTTTATAGCTCGTATTGCAATTATATATTTAAAGTCATTAGACGGTAAATAAATTTGGACGTATTGCTAAAACCCAGAGGGATTTTAAGTATCTAGGTTTTCAGTTTTTTTATGGCCAAAACATAATTGGCTCGTTTGGCCACGGGAATCGCAGTACCGCTATTTCTGCATAGTTGAATAAAGCAATCACTCGCTAACACATCGTACAAAATAAATAGCGTGTTAATTGCAAACACAATGTTTATAGTGAGAAATAATATTCCGGAGCGCCTCTCGCGGCACAGATCATTTGATAGTGTTTTATCAATGCCATTTATGTAATACAGTATCGCGAGAAATATATTGTGTAATTAAAAAAAATATTTATTATATATTGACAGTGCTACTGGCGAACTCTCCACGCCAGTCCACTTGTAAAGACGGATTTTGAAGTAATGTCTTGTGATTGTCTTTGTCGCCTCGTGTCCCATGTGTTTGTAGTTGACAAGTGTTTATTTGAATCCACGGTCAGTGCATTCAACCGTACGTTCAGTGCAGTTTCGCTTATGTTGCTCGAATTATTAAATTTGCATTTGTTTTAATTTTCTTCCCTTTAGTTGTGTCTGTGCGCCGCTGTTTTTACTCACATGAACACATATACAGGGTGATCCTCGAATCAGCCGGGACCCCTTCAACCGTCGCCGCGGACCACAGTTTGAGAACCGCTGAACTAAGATGTGCTAAATATCTCGAGTTAATTCCGTGATTCGTCATGTTGCAACTGCTGTTTTAGAGACAATTAATATGGGCGGCTTTATCTTGGTAGTGTACTTTGAAACGAGTTTAAATTTATCCTACTCGGAATTCGTTTTATCGTTTGGAAGAGCAAGGCTGATGGATTTTTACGACTCGTTAGAGCATGAATGAACTGGCTTAGAAATAATTACTGAACAGTGAGAGCGTCTCGTGAATTGGACTATTGGGGAGCGGATCGAAATATAGGGGCCGCTTTGTCTAGATTGTTGTCCACACAGTTGGGTGTTTATTTTGAGAGCATACACGTTGGTTATGCTCTGCAAGAGCCAGATGGGCTCTGCAAGAGCCAGACGAAGATTAAATATTGCGACGGCGAGGACGCAAGCCCCGCGTCGCCGTACGTGACGACGGACGACGTTCTTTCCCACGAACAACGGCAGTGCATCTTCAAACCGAGAGTACTGCGCGTGGTTGCCCGACCGATCCTCGCTTCAAACAACGTGCCCATTCGCGGAGCGAGTTTCTTGGCCGTTGCACGCACCTTACGATGGACCGGAACTGGAGCTACAAGTCGTAGCAGCCAATCCAGCGCATATGAACGTGCCACGCGCCTCGTGCTTCGTTGTGTCTGTCCTAAAGCTGACGTGACGCTCACGCGGCATTGGATTGGCTCCGATAGCTCGTAGGGTCCTCTGCGGTCCATCGTAAGGAGAAACGGAACATACCACGAACCC